GCCGGTCCCAGAGCCCAGCAGGAGCGGCCTCGGGTTTACGTGTTGGAGCTGGGCAAAGGACCCTTTCGTGTCCCTGGTGACCGCTCGGAGGGGAGATGTGTGAGGAGCACCCCTAGTTCCACTGCGCAGCAGAGCTGTTAGCGGCTAAGGGAGCGGTGCCCAAACCTAAGGGTACAGCACTGAACCGCCTTGTGTCAGCAGAACAGTTTTATCTTCAACAGGACCACGTGTTGGGAAAAGAAATAGTAAAGCCACCACACAGAATGTTATTGTTATAGACTCAAGCAAGTAGTTAATCATTCTGCCTTAACTTATTTGTGCAGCTGGACTCAGCGGGACTGATTAAGAGCAAGATATGTCAACCCCCCCTCTTGCTGGGGCAAGCATGCCGCCTGGTGCTTTCGCAGGGACACAGGCTCAAGCAGCTAGAGAGGTAAACACAGCTTCTCTCTGTCGAATTGGGCAGGAGACGGTGCAAGACATTGTATTTCGAACCATGGAAATCTTCCAGTTACTGAGGAACATGCAGGTGAGAAATAACTTTTGCTATTTACAGTCCTCAACTTCCCATATCTTTACTACCAACTGCAAGTAGATGTAGGCACAGGATGTAGCTTGAGACATTTAAATACATAACTCTATCAAACTGCTTTGAAAGTAGAATTGACTAAAGATGTGAATGCTATGCAAGCAATATATTTGTTTACTCCTGTAAATTAAGTGAAGATGGAGAACATTCAGAAATGCTGAATTGTTATCTTCTCAACAATGAATATGCTCTAAATACACTTAATATTTTTTATTCCTTTATGGATAGTGAAGTCTGTTTATATGCCAGTTATATTCCTCTGTTAACATTTGAGGAGTAATTTTAGAGGATTTTTTTGGATCTTTTCCTGTAACATTTTTCACGTAAAAATTTTTGACATTTCTTTTTGTTATTAAAGTGGATGTATTCCTTATTTGTGGCTACTTATTGAGAAAATATACAAACTTTTGCTGTGTTTATCTGTTGAGAACGGAAGGTAAATAATCATTCCCATTTCCTCTGTATTTTCATAGTTCTGGCAGTTTCCTTTTGTAGGTGTCTTAGGTATGTGTACAAGAGTTTGGCAAGTCCGAATCCACTTTGATTGTGTATCTGAATTGCTACCTCAGGTTGAGACACAAAGTCTCATCAAGGTATAATACACAGATAACAACAGTGCCTTGCTTAAACATTTTGAAGATACTAACTGAAAAGAGTTACAGAGGGATTGACAGTGCCCAAAGGGTAGAATACATGAATCTGTTTGACAGCAATGATTTGGTGCCTCAAATGAGCAAAAATAAAATGCAGAATTTTGCTGGTAAAAAACCCAAAAATTTCAGTGTTTTCTCTGGGGAAAGTATGATTGTCTTATTTCAAAATGTAGAGGACCCCCGCTGATTTATTTTAGTTTATTTATTTCATGTGACAGAAACTGTATTGTAATATTTTTAACATTTTGGGATTTTCGTCCTCTAAGTTACCGAATGGTGTTACTTATCATACTGGAACATATCAAGACAGACTGGGAAAGCTGCAGGAACATCTCCGTCAGCTATCAATACTCTTCAGAAAACTGAGATTAGTCTATGATAAATGCAATGAAAACTGTGCTGGGCTTGATCCTATTCCCATAGAAGTAAGTATCATTATTCATCTATAAATTACAAATCAGAATAACCACTCTCTGCTTAGCCTGTCATTTGTTCTTCAGAGTTGCAGGAGACTTGTAAGAAGTTTTAAATGAGACTGGAGTTATTCAGTGGACTGAATTCTGTTTATTATCTGGGTGAAAGATTGTGATACTTTCACGTTAGCAATTCTTACCAATTGGGAGTGATCCAATTTTAGATTCAAACTTCATTTAAAATTTTAGCCTTACCAGACTTCTTGGTGCATTCACCAGTTCGTGTCACCTGGGGGAAAAAAAAGGTCAGGGGCAAGTTTTTTAAAAAAACTTTTTTGTAAAAAACTTATAAAACTTATTATAGAGGCATCCCTGCCCATGACAGGGAGTTTGGATTAAATGATCTCTAAGGTCCCTTCCAGCCTAGGCCATTCTATGATTCTATGGTAGTGGGATAAAGTCTGCTTCAGGCTGGTTTCAGGAACTGGATTCAGGAACTCAAGAGATCAGGATTGAGGGCCAAAGTACAAGAAAGGACAGAGTCCTTATCAGATGCCAGCTATTGAAGAAGAGGCTTAACCCTTGTGATTCCTCAGCTTTACACTTAATAGGGATGTTCATGAATATGTATGTATATGGAGTGGAATAATTTGTTGGTCACTTTTGAGTCCCTTTTCCTGTACACTTCTCCCTGGAGATGTTTTTTACTTTCTTGTGATCCTTTTACATCCCAGCACCCTCAAAGTGCTCCGCAGGATCCAGCAGTGACCTTGGTCACTACAAGAGCAAGTATAAGCAAGAGTTTTTCTGCATACCAGTCCCTGGCAGTAACTGTAAACATCCGATGTTATCACTTCTAGAAGCAGACACTGTCTGCAAAAACATCCTGCTAACTTCAGAAAGTGCAGTCTCTTAGAAGAGACTGAGCTGAAAATTAAAATCACCGAACAGAATTTGTTCTCTTTTAGCTCAAACCAGGACACAAGTTAATAGGCATGTGTGAGCAGTTTACTCCCAGCCTTTTAAACTAATGTCTTTTGCATCAATTACTAGTCTTTCATTTGTCTGTAATGTGTATGTGAAGGAGGATGTAATTTGGCTATCAACTTTAGCTTTACTCAATTTGGGACAGAAAAATCAAAAACGGGCTATAGTACGTTATGTATAAAATGTTCCAGCTTGTAATAAGATGTTAGTAGGTTGGAAGAGTTCTGACACAGAAGCATGTGTTTGCTTTGTATCTAGTGTGTTTACTGATTATTTTTAAATTTATTTTTTTTTTTTTTTAGAAAAAGAGCATACGTTAATATTAATTTAGAAATCATTTATTAAAGATTTTTGCCTTTGTGGAAGCTTACAAAAAAGAGAGTACACTATGTGCCTGAGGAGATCAGAGTGGGAAATTCTTACCAAAAAAACTCCTATGGGCTAACTGCAGGCCTGGTCTTGAGAAAAGTCAAATAGCAGTACAAGTCATAATTAGGTTTAGAAAAAGAGCATACGTTAATATTAATTTAGAAATCATTTATTAAAGATTTTTGCCTTTGTGGAAGCTTACAAAAAAGAGAGTACACTATGTGCCTGAGGAGATCAGAGTGGGAAATTCTTACCAAAAAAACTCCTATGGGCTAACTGCAGGCCTGGTCTTGAGAAAAGTCAAATAGCAGTACAAGTCATAATTAGGTTTTAACCAAGTAGCTGTGTAAAGCCAGTAACAATTTTGTTTAATATATCACTGAAATACTTTATAATAATGATAAATTGCTGTTTGTGGTATTTCGTAGTGTGGAATAGTGAATTTAAAAATCACAGTCTGCAGAGTTCAAGAAAAGAAGGATTATCTATGATAAGCATCTCAAAATGTAAAGACTGGGCTCTATCTGCACTTGTGAAATTGCTTAGATCTGGACTTGGTAATAGGTGGGATCACGTCTTTTTGAAGCACATGGTTCTCCTGTAGATCCAACTGAGGTCATTCCAAGGCCTTTGGGTTTGAGGTGATGAAGTAAGCTTGTCTTTGCTTCCTCTTGGGAAGTTTGAACTTTTGGAGAAAATGGTAGTACCTTCTCTATTTCCAGGCTTTGGTTTCTTTTTTATTTTTCTTTTTTTTTTTCTTTTTTTCTTTCTAAAATTTCTTGTCTTCACAGCAACTTATTCCATACGTTGAAGAAGATGGCTCCAAGCATGATGATCGTGGTGCTGCAAGTCAGCTTCGTTTTGCTAGTGAAGAGAGAAGGGAAATCATGGAAGTAAATAAGGTAACAAAATTGAAATTATTTGCCTAAGACTGGAAATGTCACTTTGTCATGACAGAGCTTAAATTTCTGGATTACTAGACTAAATGCAGTATGTGTGATGACTACCTTCAAGCTTGGTACTAAGTACTTCTTTAGCTGTACCTCCAACTGTAGAGTTTAGGTTTTCTGACAATTTTAACTTGTACCTCTTTTCACACCAACACATTTTCTTCTGAATATAGTGTGTTATGTTTATGCTTAACCTGCTAGATATCAGCAGTACAGACTGAGGTAAGGTTCCTGTTGTGCTTATTTCGCTTCAAAACTTATCTTAGGCTTTAACAAAAAATCAAATGTGTAAATATTATTGCAACAGTGTGAATTAGTAAAGGATTTTCAGGGCTATGTTGTGTATTTTGAGAGTTTGAGGAAGACCATTCCTTTTGGTAAGTGTAGCATTTATTGAGCCTTGACACATTCAGGAAAAAATGTGCTAGATATGATAAAGATGCCGTTAAAATTTCAGTTTCAGCGGCAGTGTGAAATTGAGTACAATTACTAAAGATGGATCCAAATCTAAAAATAAATCTTCTGTAGTAAATGCTAGTACAATATTGAGATTAAAAATAAGTAGTTTTACCAGACCAGAATTTTGGACATTATTTCTTCAGTCTGTGAAGTACAAAGATAGGATTAATTAAGTATTTCTGTAGCTGTAGCATCTGTAATTGCTTAGTATAAAGGAGGCATAATCTACAAAAATAAGGGAACAAAGGAAATGAATGAGTAAAATATTTCTTTATGGAGACAATAATTGGTGGATTTTCAGCTTTTAAAATATTTCCAATATTTTAATATGTCTTCAGCAATCAGAGATGTGCTGAATTTTTAGTAACTCATTTAGAAAAATGCGTGCATATTGTACAGGAGAAAATGAAGGCTACGTGACTTTAGACAAAAGCAGTTGTCAGCTTTCCCATTGTATTCTTTCTGTTCAGTGCTGATGTAGCAGGGTTGTATATATTGTATGTCAGGTTGTATTGTGAATTTATGCACATTTATTTGCAATCTTTAAGTGTTAATGAGCTTAACTGTCTGTATTTGCTGTGTTTCTAATAGTTCTATGACTTTTTTTTTGCCCTTTTTGTTGTACTTGTGTGCTAATGCATTTTTAAACCTCCTTGGTGTGATGCTGTGAAAAGAATTTCATAAATGTTTATGATGAGTTCTGAATCTTAAAAAAGTTGATGATGTTACAGGGCCATTGGCAGCAAATTGGTACTTTCTGATTTTGAAAGTGCACTGATTTTTTGTTTTGTTTTGTCTCCTTCCAGCTGTATAAGCACATCCATTACCACTTTCAAAGCTCAAATTTTAATACATTCCAGAATAGGAAATACTTTGAGGTTTATGACCTCAAAAAAGAAATTCTTATTTTTGCAAAGAAAAAGTCACTAGAATCAGGTTAATTAATCTAATTTCTGTCACTGGCTGCTGGGTGAAAATAGCCCTCTCTGATTCTTAGTTGGCATTCCTGACAGCTTTTCAGTACTCTGTAGTATGTAATGTGCACCTCCAACTTAATTTTGCTTAATTTGTCTTAGCAAAATTTCAGTAATACAAAATGTTGATTGAAAATGCTGTGACAGGGAAAACCAATATGACAGATGAAGCTTTTTCTAGTCTTGACCCACTACCTTTTCTTCCTTCAACTGGTTGTCCTGCTCTTACCTAATCCTTTTTTTTGCTGTGATAGGCAGTATTTTTTGAGTCTTGTGTATTACTGGTACCAAAAAAAAAAGCCTTTTTACGATAACCCAATACTGGACACTATTGGGGCTTTGGAATTCTTATACCTTTCACAGGTCTTTTAATTTTGCCCTTCTTGATGGGATATCCCAACCAGTGAGATCTCTTTTGTGGCTCTGGATGTAATGAAAGACACTAACTGCACTGCAGTGTAGACCTCAGCCAAAACTAGTAGATCATATAAATCTCATGGATCATACATTCTCAGACAAAAGCGTCCTTCCTTCCGGGAACCGCTGACCTGAAACATGACAGCTCTGCTTTGTTACCACAGTTGTCTGGGAAGGGACTACCCTCAGTGCAGGAGGAGAGGAGCGTCACAACTTCTCATACCCGTTGCCTCACTCGTAGGGCAGCAGGCCCTGTTCATGTAGCAGAGTTTCTAAATACTGCAGTAGCTTTTCATGTCAGTTTAATGTGTAGTCACATCTTTTGGTCTTCCTTATTCTGCTGTATTAGACTTATCTTTTAGGTCAGGAAGTTTAATGCTCTCACCTTGGCTAAAAAGTACTTGTCCATTGATTAAACATATATAGATCAGTTTACAAGGTAATGAATTTCTGTCCTAGCAATTCAGTAATATTTAGCGACTGTAGGTTTAAATAAAACTTACTAAGCTTAAAAGCAAAAGGGATTTTTGCCAGCACTAAGGAGAATGCACCATTAGGCTGGAACAGGCTGCCCAGGCAAGTGGTTGGATCGCTGTCCTTGGATGTGTTTAAAAGCTGTCTAGATGTGCTGCTCAGGGACATAGTTTAGAAAGTGGGCCTGGTAGAGTTATGTAGTGTTTAGATGTGATGATCTTAAAGGTCTTTTCCAACCAAAAACAGTTCTATGAGTATTATAAAACAACCAAAGAAGCCGTTTATTGAACACTGACTACCTCTGCCTTTTGTACTAAACAATTCTCTCCTGCACTTTCCAAAAATGTTGCTTATTCCTTTTATCTGTAGTTGCTTTCTGAGGTTTAAATTGTTTAGGAGGTTGAGTCTTCTCTGGAGTAAATAATTTTCTGTTCCAGAATCAGTTTAGCATTTGCCCTGGTCTGCTAATTTAAGTCCTGATCCAGTTTTCACTGAAAGTAATTGCTATATGCAACAACTGGAAGCCGTTCCAAAATTTCCTCACTTGTTGTCATATTTTTTAAGCCTTTAATGTTCTATCAACTTCTTTGTACCTTGCCAAGTATAGCATCATCTGTAATATTTTCAAGATGTCAGGCTCACCTTCGGTCCGTGGTCTCATAGTACATTTGACAGGACTTACAACAGAAAATACTAAATCACAGACTGAGAACACTTTAATTTGTGTTGCTGCCTTATCAGCAGTTTTCTTTACTGCTTGTTTAAAGAAATGGAGCAAGTAAAGCTTTGAGTTTTTAGGTGGTGTAGGTCTGGTTTTAAATGAAGCACTCAGGAAAACCATTGGGTACTTAGTAGTCTCAGTATATTTGGGTGAAAATGAAATGATGACAAATAGCATTAGGATGTACCCAATGACCCTTTAGAAAACAATCTTGTTTGATATTTGTAATTAATCTTTGTTAAAAGCTTAACAGTGGTCTTGCTAAGAGTCAGGCTAAGTTAAACTGTTAACTAGTTTTGCTCTGGGATTTTTGATAACAGAACCATTGTGCACTGCAGCTGATGTTGTTTAGGGAAAGTAGTCCTTAAAATGACAACAATTTGCAATTAATCTTTCTCCTTGGAGAACTTTACATGGAAACTACTTTCAGCTATCCTGAAAACCTGTATTCATTTTAAACTATTTTTCATACTATTGTATGTATTTTTATTTTTTATTTTTTTTTATTTGTAGAGTCCTTTTTCACCCAAAATATAAATGTGTAACAAGAAACGCTTTAACAAGAGGGGAAGAAATGTTTACTGGGATACCTTCTCAGCAGATTAAGCTGCACTAGGAGAATTCCATCCCATTTTTGGGTACCCAGACTGGCTCTCTGCAGTGGTAGAATTGTAGAGGAATTTAGGATTAGTGAGAGGTCTGAAGATTATCTGATTCAACCTCCAGTGCAATGCAGAGCCAACTAGCAAAGTTAGATCCAGTTGCTCAGGCTGGTATCCAGTAACAATTTGAATATATCTAACTATGGAAATTCTACTGGTTTAGGCCCTTTTTGAATGTCTGCTTTTGCTGTGAAAGTTTTCCATATCATAGAATCATAGAATGTGTTGGGTTGGAAGGGACCTTTAAAGGTCATCTAGTCCAACCCCCCTGCAGTGAGCAGGGACATCTTGAACTAGATCAGGTTGCTCAGAGCCCCATCAAGCCTGACCTTGAACATCTTCAGGAATGGAGCCTCCACCACCTCTCTGGGCAACCTGTTCCAGTGTTTCACCATCCTCATTGTCAAGAACTTTTTTCTAACATCTAATCTAAATCTACCCTGCTGTAGTGTAAAACCATTGCCCCTCATACTCTTGCTACACAGTCTTGTGAACGTTCCCTCCCCAGCTTTGTGTAGCCCGCTTCAGGTACTGGGAGGCTGCTATAAGGTCTCCCTGGAGCCTTCTCTTCTCCAGGCTGAACAACCCCAGCTCTCAGCCTGTCCTCGTAGGAGAGGTGCTCCCGCCCTTTGATCGTTTTTGTGGCCCTCCTCTGGACCCACTCCAACAAGTTCATGTCCTTCCTGTGTTGAGGGCTCCAGAGCTGGCTGCAGTACTCCAGGTGAGGTCTCACCAGAGCAGAGCAGAGGGGCAGAATCACCTCTCTCAGTCTGCTGGCCACACTTCTTTTGATGCAGCCCAGGATGCAGCTGGCCTTCTGGGCTGCAAGTGTGCATTGTTGGCTCGTGTCTAGCTTTGCATCCACCAACATCCCCAAGTCCCTCTCTGTGGGGCTGCTCTCTAGCACATCTTCCCCCAGCCTGTACTGAAAATGAGGATTGCCTCAACCCAGGTGCAGGACCTTGTACCTGGCCTTGTGGAACCCCATGAGGTTCACGTGGGCCCACTTCTCCACCTTGTCCAGGTCACTCTGGAGCACATCCTGTCCCTCTGGCATACTCTGTTGTATGAGCTTTTTTTTCGCATGTAGGATGTTGCTTTAATTGAAGTTCCTGAGATGGGTGCTTGCCTGCCTTTCCCACCTGTTGAGGTCCCTCTGAACTAAACACCCTGCCACTGAATATATTGACCATTTCCACCAATTTAGTATTGTCTGCAAATTTATACTTTGATTATGTTATTGTG